TTAGCCCAACAGTTGTAGTATTAACGAAGACCCCATTTACACCTGGTGTTAAAATGCGATCTGTATCCAGATAAGTTATCCGGAAAGTACCGATTCCATTTACACCTGGCCACATAAATGTGTTTTTGCAAAACGGATATAAATCCGATCTTCAACTCCCGCGTTTTATGCAAATTTAATGGATTGCACGCCACCAAAAGCAACAGATATGAGCTGCATTTTATTCATCATCAGCTAATTTCAAAATCAAAGACATCAATAAGAGAGAGTGGCAACAGCCCTGGTAAGATAATTTCGTTTCTTTACTTGAAGATGATTGTGTGTTAAGCGCCTGTGACTTACTTTCACTTTTATTTGCGATGTTTTGGGAGGAGTACATTTTTGGGAGGAGTAAAATATACATAAGCCTATGTGGTTTCAACAACCAGATTGCATTTACACCTAGTAAAGATCCGAAAACAATGCGAGCCAGACTACCTCCAGATGTGGTCAGGCAGATCCGATCACAATCCGATCACAACGAATTTACACCTTGCATTAACATGCGTTTTTTTATTATCCGGATAACTTATCTCTGGATAGAAATGATCGCATTTTAATACCAGGTGTAAATGGGGTCTAAGATTAACATTTAACAAACACAGTGTGTTGCTCATGGTTCATACATGAATAATGAACCTTATTGTAAAGCGTTACTATGAAATCAAAAGATATAATTCCTTACAATTTAGAGTTGGACATGGACTTAAGATTTCATTTAACTAGATGTATTTCCCTAAGCTAACAACACTTGCTATAGCCTTGGATAAAAACGAATTAAAAACACATTCTGAGAAACGTTGTCACTCAGAATGAGTCTGAAATCGTGTTACTTTTATTAGTTAACTATAACTCGCATGCTGCCGTAACTTTTAAAGTAGCGTGGTAGATTAAATGTAATTTTCTGTATTAGCTTAAACGTTACCTGCTGCTCGTGTAGTTTGAAGACTCGCGCGAACGTGCGTATCAGAACCGTTAACGTACGAGGCGCAGCAGGAAACTCCGCCTACCACTTTTCCAGCCAAATTTTTTAATATATATATATATATATATATATATATATATATATATATAATATTTGTTTGTATTATTATTGATAGTGGCAAGGGTGTGTAAGTGTATTGTTATTTATTCTAATATTTATAATTATTATTATTATTATTATTATTATTTACAATTATCAGAAAAGGGCAAGCGTGGACGTCACATGGTTGGTGTTACCTATTTTATCCAGGTAGTCACATTAAAGGTAGGTATTTTTTTGTGTGTGTGTTCAAAATTTGTTTAAAAAAAAATGTGTTTTGTCTGTCTTCCTGATTCCCGAATCCCAACTGTATGCTTATAATAAGTGTTTATCTTCTGATTAGACCAAGCAGGACGCCAACCGCTGCGGAGGAGCACAGTACCTGCGTGAATTGTCATATACATCAACAGAGAGAAGTAGCTCCGGCTATAATGTTCTTCCGCCAGCCAGACGCCTGCAGTTTTGTTTATTAACCGCTAGAATCTTAACACAACACAATGTGCTTCACACAGTGTGCACCAGTAAATGACAGAATTTTTTATTTTGGGCGAACCATACCTTTAAGTGACTTATATGTTACCACATGAAGCACATTGTGTTTTCTGACTAAACATTTTTTATGAAAGCAGCACAGAAATTGTCCACAGACCAGGCATGTAGGCCTACTGGCCATCGGGACTACCGGGACATTCCCGGTGGGCCGCGGTCTGGTTGGGCCGGCGGCCCGGCGCGTTATGTATTTTGTTTTTAAATCATTATTAATTGTAAATATAGCCTATTCTATCGTAAGTATATTGTTATATTGTCCAATTCCGGGCATGTGTCTCTCTCATGAAGCTGACGCGAGCTGCGAGACTAACAGGTCTGATGGCCAATCGGAATCAAGTTCAAATCTAGACTTGAAAAGCGGCCGCTTTACAACAACTGCAGTGATGCGATGTGATGATGTGCAACGAAATTCATGTCAAAAGAGTAACATCTCTAAACGTAAAGGGGGACCGAGAAGTCGAGAGAGAAAAAACGACAAGACAACGACAATAACTTGAGGCAGATGCCACCAAATGTGTTAAAATAAATGAATTATTTGCTGGACTTTAGTGAAGATGTCAGCAGGGCGCGCCTGACTGCTGAGGTGAGACATTTAGAATGATAGGCTACACGTAGCCTTCTGCATTGTTTTGTTTAAGCATGTTACGATATTCCAGCTGTAATAGGATCGATATAAATGACATTTAAAATTCTCAGCTCTCTGGTTCTGTCCATTTTATTACGAAATTCAGACAATACCGTTTTGCCGCTAGAAAATAACGTGACAGGTCGCTTTAGCGCCTCAGTTCAAGTAAACCGATCATCTGTTACTTTTTATTTAAAGATAAGATACAATAGCCTACAACTTATCAAACGGTATATGCCTCATAAATAATATCAATCAGTGCTTTTCAACAACGGAAAGAGATTAATAAAACAGCAGGAGAACAATTATGTCACAGAACGTTACAGTTACCTCAGGAAAGCCATTTAATGACAATAGAACATAGTTGACTTGAAAAATAGCTATAGAAAGGAGTATTTTGCATACTTGCATACCTTTCAAATAGCTATAGAAAGGAGTATTTTGCATATAAATATGCACATATTTTTTTTTTTTTTTCAATTTGTATCCCTGAAAGTGCCTGGCAGAAGCCTTATGTGTCATAGGCTAAATGTGAACAAAAGACAAAGATAAATAACTCACTGCTCTTGACTAGCTTTAACAATGATTTATATATATATATATATATATACTATATATATATACTATATACACTATATAAATGATATAGTATAAATGAAATATAGGTATACTATATAAACTATATTTCATGAGGTGAAACATCACTGCCAGGTCCTGGCAGTGATGTTGCACCTCATGAAATATAGTTTATATAGTATAGCCTAAGAATATTCTATTACACACTAAAAAATGCTGGGTTGTTTTAACCCAATTTTGGGTCAAATATGGACAAACCTGAAATGTTGGGTTAAAAATGTAATGTAAAAATTTAACCCAACGGCTGGGTTAGTCCATATTTGACCCAAAGTTGGGTTAAAACAACCCAGCATTTTTTAGAGTGTAGAATAATAAGCGGCACATAAATTAAGACCAGTTATTTACAATAAAGCCTTATAAAATCATTTCCATTTTATTTGTTTATTATTTTAATATTTTTTTCTTGGTTCTGATAGTAAATAAAATCTAATCAGTAATTTTACATGCAGATTAATGCACGTATAGATGTGTGTGTGTGTGTGTGTGTGTGTGTGCATAGTGGGCCGGTCTGGATGAAGTGTCCAGGGCTGATTTTTTGTCCCAGTCCAGCCCTGCCACAGACCGAAAAAGAATTACGCTTTGCGGTCATCCAGCATGTGCAGATCAGTGATGCAGCTCTAAGCTTGACAAGTCTGGCATAGCAGGAATTCAACACTTTACTGTTTACTAGGCCCCCATGTGGCCCAATGCTTTCCCCACACACACTTAACAGAGTAGGCTATATAACACAAGCATTGTTTAATAAAGCTGGCTTTCTAGGTATTGTTACAATAAGAAAAAATGCAGCATATTATTTTAAAACATTTACCACATCAACATTACAATTAAAAAAGGAATATTTCCCTTTATTATTTTATTGATTTATTTTTACTAACACCACAAGAATGTGTTACTAAGAAAATCAGGGGACCCAATATATATATATATATATATATATATATATATATATATATATTATTTTCTAAGATAACCACTTTTTATTGTCAAATCAAACATGCTTTTTATGGACTTTTACTGTTGTTTTGTATTAAGATTTTGGATTTACAAGAAGAAATGTGCTTTTAAGGTTATAGTATACAACACACAACAAATGAAACATCAATATAAAATAATATCCACCTGAAATTGCCGTCAACAACATGAAGTGCATGCAAAAATCTGAAACTTTTTTCTTTTCTTTTTTTTTTTCTTGTTTTCATTTTAAATACAGCCATATGGTGTTCCTTTCCAGCTTCTCTTGGTCGGACATTTTGCTGCCAAGTTTTAGGAAGGCTGTGTGTTCATGATAAGTGACATTTGTTGCACAGGAATGTTTTACAGCAAGCAGAATTACAAGGTAGAGTTGTGTGTGTGTAGACATGCATGCGTGCGTAGATCCCGTCTCCTGCAGTCGCCTCTTGGAGCAAGGTTGCTCTGTTATGTATCTACAGTACTGTACAACTTATCTTTCTTTGCCTTCCTGCCTCATTTCAGTCGTAAGGAAAATATCCCATTTGTTGTGGATTCTCTTACGAAGATGTTTTTAAACATTCAGGACAAAAAAAGAAGGAAAAAAAGAAATTTGGAGTACATTTTTGGTAGATTTGGTACATTTTTTTGTCGTTGTTTAAATCACTCTAAAATCTGATCCTAATATTGTCTTTGTCTTCAATGGTGAAGAATTCCGATCAAAGCTTCTTTTAATACTTTAGGGAATTTTCAAACGTCGTGAAGTATGGCTGTAATGCCCCAAGATTTGTTCTCCCTGAAAAAAAATCATAAAGTAACAATATATTAAACTACAGAGCAACCTTGCTTTGAGAGGTTTATGCACTAGTTTTTCAAAAAAGGCTTTCTAGCATTCCTGTGCTTTGTATTTCTGTATAAAGTAGCCATGTTCATGCATTAAAAAGCATTTTTTTATTTATTTTTTTTACTACAGGGCTTTGGTTCAAATCCATGGGGCATTACTTTAACAACAGAAACAGAATAAAGTCAGAAATCCATGTCAGAATGAAAGCAAGACAAGGTTCGATCTGTCATGTCGTGTGTGTGTGTGTGTTTTTGTTTTGTTTTTTGGGTGTGAGCAGAAGTTTAAATCTGAAAGCAACACAAAAATGGTTTGTGTAATGAAAAATAAAACGCTTGTAAAGCAAAGTAGTTTTATTCACACAAATTTAATAAGATATAACAACTGTTTGGTCCATAAATATTTAAGGGGAAATAGTTTCTATACACCATCTTTTTTCAAGAAACAAGGAAACATGGACAATCTTGATAGAACACGTACTGTACTATTAACACGAAGATCAATATATATGATTCTCGGATTTACCAACTAGTTCTGAAAGAGTGCACAACTGCCTTCTATGACATCGCCGCCCCCTTGTAACAGAATACACCATTAAAAAGATCTTCAGAAAAATCAGATGAAAAACAGAACAGTACAAAACTAGTGAGGCGTTCCAAGGATGGAAATCATTTAACAAACAAACATGTATCTCCTGAATTTTCACAAACTCTCTTCCAAGTCGCATAAGGCACATAGTAGAACTGAGTTAAGCATCTACTTCATGAAGCAGATCTAGTGTACCACTTTGTTCTACAACAGAACAAATTTAGCATCACACAAGGAAATGTTTCACCCTAGCGAGGAGCCCCGACCGATCTCCAACTTGAGCCGTAAATGGTGTTGTTTTTTGGTCTGTTCGGTGGCAGAACATTAAAAAAGAAGGGGGGGGAACCAGAACAAAACAGTGTGATGCGTGTCTTTCCCAATTAACTTGCAGCTTCGCATTCACAAATCACTCATAACGCTTCCTACTGGGCACCATATTGTCACTGAGCGACGCGTTGGATATCTTCATTCAAAACAGTTGTTGCCCGGCAAACGATCCAGGCCAACTTGTGATCTGATTCGCACACATTGTGGCAAATTAGGTGGTAACGTTTTAAACAATTACCGCCGTTATTTGGCATTACAGTCCGGCGTCAGTGACAAAACAGACCTAAATTGAGGTTGCAGCATCCACTTGGCGTTTGAGCTCATGGGAGCCAGTGTGTCAAATAATGTTGGAAATAAAACTGGAAACATACATCATTTTTTTCATTTAATGTCTGAAATTATTAAGAAAAGTTGCTGCCTTAAACATCCACGTTAATCGTACGAACACATTTTAAGTCATTTCAACTTAAATTACATTAAACTGGCGTTCAAAAAAACAAAAACGAGTTGAAAAATCGCTTAACTTATTTTGATGAGTTAAAGCATTGTAAAAAACATACGTTGTCGTAACTTATTGATCTATAATGATCACAAAAACAAATCAATGACAAGTACTGCAAACTCAGCTGCCACACGGTTGCAAATGCTACACATTTTTAGTAGGTCTCGTCTTACATTTCCAAAGGTCTTTCTGTGGTCGCCAAAGGGTTTTTTTTTTTTTTTTTGTTGTTGTTGTGGAAAATAAAAATAGAATCTGAAAAAAAAGTGGGATAAAGACAAAAAAAAAACAAAAAAAACAGCAAATCCGTGTTAGAAAAGGTTTGTCAAGGTAGTTTGTGGGGGGCTCCCAGATTCGTGGCTGTCCAAACTAGAGGTCACTGATGTTACTACGGTGATAGAGGGATTGGTCAGGTCAGTTAGTGTGGTGGCCGTGCTGGGTGGGGTCATAGCACCGCTGTCGGAAGAGGGCGGCGGAAGTGACGTGCCGTCAGCCTTATCAACACCCCCATTCTCCTGCCGCAAAACGTTCCTTCTGAATTTGGCCCGTGCGTTTTGGAACCAAACCTGCAAACCAATCCCAGTGTCTTTACTCTTTCTGTGTTTTGCTGCGAATTATTGTCATATTTGTGCCTACTTATAAGTCATATCATTTCACATCACAAAGTTAATCACTACTAAACAATGCCAAAGTGAATCGAAAGGCTGTGCAAAGTAGCAGGCCTCAACTTTTGAAAGGGATTCTACTGGAAAACATGGACCATCAATTTGGATTTTTTTTTTTCTTTTTTGGTGCACAAGTATTGCCCCTTGAATTAAGCCTCTATTTAGTATATTGCCTCGCAAAATTTCTAACAACATGACATAACAGAAAAATGACTGATGGGTTAAAACGGAAAGCAAAAAACTCAAGGTGTTGGTGTGGATGTGAAATGGAGTGTGGCGACGCTTACCTGAAGAACTCTCTTGGTCAGTCCTGTCTTTTGGGCAAGCTGTTTTAAGTCCTTGGCATCGGGGTTGTGGTTTATGGCAAAGTAGGACTTCATGGTGCGAAGCTGATGGTGTTTGAACGACGTACGCATGCGCTTGGTCTTTTGAGAAGGAGGGTAGGATTGCTGATCCCGATCCAAATGGTCCGCTTCGTTCTCGTTACAACCTGAAGTACCGGAACAAAGCGAAAACAAAGCAATGAGATTTGATACAGAACCACTTGACAATGTTTACCAGATAAATATTCGATTTCAAACTCTACATTGAGGATTTAAAATACAGTATCGAAAACTATACAGCTGTAAATGACTAATTGGATCAAAAACGTGTCATATTTAACTTCTTAAACTCTTGAAAACAAAGGTTCTGAAAGTGGGTTTTCTCAGTGATGCCATAGAAGAACCATTTTAGTTCACAAAGGAACCAGTGAGCAGTTCCAATTCTTAGTGTGAAAAGCATGTTAGAACTGTTTTCCACTATAAAGAACCTTCACTGTAAAAAAATATTGTTGGTTTAACTTAAAAAAGTAAGTAACCTGGTTGCCTTAAACTTTTAAGTTGATTGAACTGGAAAAAGTGAGTTAATACAATGAAGGAGATTGATTTAATCATCAGAAACTCAAAATAATAAGTTATCTGAACTAAATAAATTATTTAAGTTGATTTGACAAAAGAAAAAATGTGATAACAAATCTTGAAAATATTTTTTTTTACAGTGAAGGTTCCATTGACGTTAAAGGTTCTTCATGAAACCATAGATGCCAAGAAAAAAAAAATAAAAGAGAAAAAGTCATTAGAATCACATGACACCTGACGAAATTAATGTAAATATAACTAAATTCAAAACAACTGCTTGCCAACCTTTTGCGATTTATTACAATATTCATGTATAATAACAAATGTCAAATAGTCACCTTCCTTAATCTTAAATAACTCTACTTGATAATGTATTGATGTTTAGGTATTAAACTACGTGCCATGGGTAGCTAAAATGATTTATTAATCAAAACTGTCAGTTGTAGCCTTCATGTTAAATCGCTGCTCCGTTTAATTCATTTGGTAGCCTAATTAATTTGATCGATGCTCATTTCACCCCACCGTTTACGTTTGTGTTTACATTAGTAAATATTTTAACAAAAAATGCACAGCAAGAATTAACTCTTAGAATTAACAAGAAATTATAGGTATGAGGAGAACAAAATGTTCTCACGAGTGTTGTTTTCACGATCCAGGCTCCTTTTTTGCCACCAGAGGTCTCTATCTACAAATATGTATGCAACAAGTCGACTAGTGCATTAGGTTTTTAACGAATATAAAAATACACAATATTATGCAAAATCATATATAATTTTGAAATGCAAAACAATTTAAAACTAATAATAATTATATGGGAAAGTAAAATTATTATTAGCTTAGTCCTATATGTTAAACATGGTAGCCTATAGCTGAAAAATCTAAAGATTAAAGAAAAGGTGAAAAACAAAATATTAACATTGTAACGTTACCAAAAAATATGTAAGTAGAAACAAACAAACAAAATGCTTCAATAGTGAAATAAAACAACAACAACAACAACGAAAACGACAATAATAGGCCTCAATAAATAACTGTCACAAATCATCAATAAAATCGCGGAAGTCGTATTAACTTGAGAATTATCACAACTGACAACCATTTAATTTTGTAAGACAAACTACAGCTATGATAAAATATTGCAAACTTCACAGCACGTTAGAGTCAGGATAAAAAAGCGAAGGAGTTTAAAGTCGGACTGATGTGCGCTCGCGCTTGTGTGCTGAGAACAGCCATGACCTTCAAGTGGCGAAATCCGAGCTGGTTGAACGCCAGAGATTCCGACGTCACATTCAATTAACGGAGAACAATTAACAGGCAGATTACCCTTATTTCTCTCCATTCATGAAGAACGGCAGAAACTTGGCACACAAAGCCACATTTTTTTCCCAAGCAGACAATAATTGTAACAGCCAAAACAAAACAGGCGCAGCGGGGGTTCATTATGACGTATGTCTGATTTCGAAAAGGTAGAAAAAGTAGAAAAAGTGAGGAAAATAGTGACTGGTAATGCGAGGGAAGACACAGGCCTGTGGGCGATGGATCTACATTGCTATGATCCCTGCACGGGCTGGGTCACGGGGTTCACTCCTTTGAGAATATCAAATTAGATGTTTGATGACGCACTAATGAGCGAGGCCTATAATTAATCAGATCCAATCATCAAGACTCAAGCGCGATATAGCCAACATTTTACTGTTGTGCATAAATAAAAACCAGGAAAAATAAATAAATATAAGACTAAAAGAGTGGAAAATACAATGGCATTGTTACATAGGCTATCCCATTATTTTTCTTGGCTATATTTTGTAATATTCTATGCATAGGATGATGTAGACAGACTACAGTTTTAATGGAAGGTGAACTATGTAGTTAAGCACTTTTTTTTTTTATTATACTACAAACATTTTAAGTGCAAGATAGGCTAATAATAATAATAGACATTTGATCAATTAACACACTCAAAACACTGATTTTCACTGGAACCAAAAGGAGGACATTTGGCCTATTGTTTGCAGGCATTAAGAAAAGAAAAAAAAATTCTTATGATCAAGATGGTTATTACTGGAACATCGAGGCTGGTTTGTTTCCGACCGTGGCCCTATACCTGATAATCCATCTGATCCAGACCAGCTTGGGCCAACTAATGACCCTAAGTGACCAGCATGGTCCAGCCTGAAACCATCACACAACCAGCAACTAATATATAATCTCACATCTATGCTATTAGAGTCTATTCCTTGGATGATGGTTTATGTTTATGTCATGTTAGCTCATATATCACTGTAAAAAAAAAAATTGCTGCCTTAAATTTTTAAGTACAATCAACTTGGATGTTTAAGTCATTTCTACTAAAATTACATTAAGCTAAATATTGTGTAATATATATATATATATATATATAATTGTTAACTTATTGATGATTTAAAGAAATGTAAAAGAAATGCTGTGTTGTCATAACTTATCGATCATTTAATTTTCAGGGGATCACAATGATGATTAATGATTTAATGATCACAATCCAAGTTTTAACTGTCCCGCTTTCCCTGAAAGAACCTGTCCCACTTTATCTACACATAGTGCAAACTGACCTTTACAAATAGGCCTACTGTAATGCAATTTTGCATATTGTGCAATATATAAAATTTAATTTGCTGAATTGAATATCAAATTTGCTGCCTTCAATTTTTAAATACAATCAACTTGGATGTTTAAGTCAGTTCAACTTAAATTACATTAAACTGATATAGTACAAAATGTGTTGAATCTTGTGTAACTAATACAAAAAGTTATTTTGAAAAGTTAAAGCAATGTAAAAGCATATGTTATCATAACTTATTGATTTTACAGTGCACTAAAACAGGCCATATTAGAGAAATGAATTTAGCGTATGAGCTTGTAATAATTATTTTAGACGTTTGCACTTGATTGTCTGCTGATTTTTAAATGGTAACTGAATTAAGAGCATTTTTTTTCGTTCCCCCTAATAGTAAAAAATAAAATCAATGTTTATCGAAAGCACAATTATTCACATCTTATGTGGGTGATTACACGAACAATGGAGAGATTAAAGGAATCAAAGTTATCCGTCTACTAAGTAAGTCCATTTAATGCACATCTCACCTGAGTTGTAAGAGCCGATATCTATCCCCATCGCTGGACTCTTCCTCTTCCTCGGCCTTCCTTTCTGCACCGTGCCGGTGCCATTGAAGTAAGGTAGCGCGAGCCCTCCGCCTTTGGCCGCTAATTCAGCGTAGTTTAATTGAGGGTGATACTCTCCTTGAACAAGGGTCTCAAAGTGAACCCGGCAGTAAACCAAGTTGTCTTTCATGCCGAAATGGTCACCCGTGGTCAGTGTTTTGTTGCATGTGGTGCAGGTGAAGCAGCTCAGATGGTACACGGAGTCCCTGGCGCGCATCACCATTTCCGAGGCGGAGATGCCGAGGTGGCAGCGGGCACATCTCTGCACGGAGAACCTTCTGGAACAGCACGAGTCATTTATAATCAAAATAATCACTCAGATTGGTAGTAACGTTCATCAGGTCTTTAACGAACGTAACATATCAAAAGCGCATGCACGTACACTTTTGATTAATCAAAAATCATTTTTAAATGGTTCGAATTATTTAAATAGCCTACAGGTCATCGTAGTGATACTATTTAGGAACACAATTATTTGGGGTTTTCTTTTCAATTCAATAATTAGGCAAGCCTGTTTTAGAAAATATAGCCTAAACGATTATAATTTGAGTTTAGGAAAACCCCCATCGTGCATTCAGCATGAATGAATTCGCTTTATTAGATTAATTTAAGCGTGTCAGAAAATCACTATATGGGTCAATGGCTTACACTGGCTTCGATGTCACCAGTTTTTTATGTGTGTTAAAAAAAAGTTAGGCTACTAACCAGGGCCTACTAAACAGGCCTAATGCACGGTTTAAGCCTCAAAGTTAAACTTACCTGTAGTAATCCTCTTTGCAGTAAATGCTGCCATCCTTCGCGAAACACGTCAGCTCGGATTCAAGGGCCAGTTTACATTCACAACACTTGAGACACCTTAAATGCCACTGTTTATCAACGGCGAGTAAGTAGTATCTGTCGGAGATTTTCCCACCGCAGCCGGCGCACAGCGCGGGCTTCTCTGGGCTCATGGAGGGCATAGTCTTCAGAAAACACACAACATAAAGAGATGGAGTGAGTGAGTGAAAGTCTATGCGTTCATTAGGCTAAATATCTATCACGCTAACTGAGTTTGCCACAATAGATTTAGAACTAGAACTAAATAAAAATAGGCTATAGCCTGAATGATAAAAACAAATTAGCCTATCCGGATAGGCTTTATATGTATATTTTTTTAAAAGTAGGCTAATTGGATATACCGATTTATTAAGGCAAAATGAGACATAATGCATAGTTCTATAACGCAGGCCTATGTTTTGTTTTTACTACGATGTTTACAACAGTGTCGCCTATTCTAATAATAAATCCAATTTACAAAACACATAGGCCTAATGATAATACTAATAACTACAATTATTATTAGCTTTATTGCATGTTTGGCACATTGGCATATGTATGGAGTATACTTTTTGTAGCGTTTAATTTCGCGGTCTTTATTAATTTCGTGGTCTTAGAAGTTATTCTGTTGTGTTGTGACAACTGCTTTAAAATTAAGCCTAAATATTATTTATAAGAATACAGTTGAACGTGTAAAATATGTATTTTTTTTATTTATAAATACCCCTCATTTTATATTCTAATCAAATATGCTTTACTTAAAAATTATCCTCGCCATTTAAACAATTTAATTTAGGCTATAGGCTACTTCTAGAAATCTTCTAGAATATGACTATTTTTTGCATGTTTCTTGAGGCCTGCTAATCTTGCAAAACGAGGACCGTACATTAAACTAATTTCGCTGTGTTTTTAAGTGGGTTACAAACTGTGAAGTCTGCGACCATAAAGAGTTTTGGAGTGCTGAAATTTGCTGAAACGGAAAACACACGCTAATAAAGCAAAATCTTACCGTTTCTCGTCCGTTCATCTGGACTGTTTTAGCCAGACGAGACTCGGTTTTAGATCTCCTCTCCATCTCCTCCATGATCCCTTGAATATGATCCCCAGAGATGCCGTGGAAAAGCATGGCTGCTGGACGCAATGTGCAACTGCTTTCTTTCGCCTTGCACCCCACAACTTCCATATACAGCTTTCCGGATCCTTAAAACATCCGAGTGGATCTACACCAACAAATTCACACAAATGCAATCAATATTTAAAAATATAGCCGGTGGAGTTTGACGGATGGCGCTGGAACAGTCAGGAGAACAAGTCCACTTCTCCAATATCTTGTGCAGGAGGGAAAAAAAAGTATAGTCCGGACGATATAAGGCAAAGCTGAAGTCTGAAGGATGTTTTAAACCTGGTTTTTCAGATAGTCCCAATCTCCTACTGGGGATCCGAATGCTTGAAAGTCAGGTTTGGGACTGTGTGTGTTAGAGATCCTGTGTCCTATTTGTGAAGAGAGCAAACGCCTGCCCAGCACGGGTAATTGGGTAGGAGGAGTCCTCCCTCTCTCCAATGCCACTGATTTCTATTCACCAACAAAGACCTGTCACTCTCTCTTCAAACCGATGGTGATGGGCAACACGAGCTTGGAAAGCACTTGGTACAGACCTTTTACTTCTTTTTAGCTGCAGTTTGTCATTTTTTTGTGAGGCTTTCTTCTTCTTCTTCTTCTTTTTTTTTTTTTTTTTGCTTAAATGCTTCTATTAATGCATTCTTAATGGTTCAACAGTGTAAATGAATTAAGTGTTGACACTGTTAGTCATCTGAGCTGTCTTTAGTTTTGTTTCTTGTTGGAAAATTGCGATCTTAAGGAGTTGGCTGTTTATTTTCTTATCCCAAATGATGCAACCGAAAGCCTGCATGTGTCATTTATAACTTAAATTCCTAAAAAAAAAGTACAGTTGTAGCCCACATTCTCATTTATATATTTGCATGCATATTTGAAGCAAGTGTATCATGAAGCACCCATATATATATATATATATATATATATATATATATATAAATTGTTTTCTTTAAATTGATTTGACATTTGCACTCTTGTACCTGAACTGCATAAATTCAACTATAATGTATTTTATGCTTGTAAATGTAAAACAAATGTTTGAGGATAAAGTGTGTGAAATCTGTAAAATGAAATTGGTGGCATAATTTAAAAAGTTGTCCGACTGCTTTATCAAGGTGTGTGTGTGTGTGTGTGTGTGTGTGTTGGTCTCTTTCTCTTGTGTATTTGCGGGAGAAAGAGAGAAAGGAGAGCGAGGGAAGGGGGAGCGATGCTGTTGGGAGGAGGAATAAGCAGTTGTTTACATTCTTTGATTTTCAGATGTCAAACGTCAAATGAATCTCATTGTCACAGTTTATTTTCTTTACGAATAGCTATACGAGAAATGGTCTAGAATTATATTTGAGAATGATAATACCTCAATGATAGCAAACTGAATTCAATTAGTCGTGATAGTAATGATATCAAAGACAGAATGGTTTATCTAGACGATATTTTGCATCTCTTTATGTAGCGTTTAAACTGTAACACTCGTTTCGCAAATTTATTTATTAACTATTGCACGAGCATTGCCTTCTTAAATTTACACACGCCATTTTTATACATTTATATATTTTAAATAAAGATTTGGGTGAGCATTGTAATTATCTTTTTTATTTAGAATTTCTTTTTCTTAAGTCTAGCCGCTTCCATGTGTATTTTTTTTCCCTTTCTATTCAGTCCAATTTGTTTAGGCCTATAGTTTTAATTATTCTAGCAATGTATTCATCTTTTTCCATGCCCTCCTCTCAAAAAAAAAGAAAAAGAAAAAAAAAAGCATGAATTATTTCGCCCATTAGAAGAAATGAATAAATTCGTCCTGATCTTGAGGTGGGCTATAAAGCTCACAAATACAACAGCTTTCAATCGTGCGGTTATTTTTCCTATCAACTTCATATAATCGACGGAAAAGATTTCTCACGTGTAAATAACGTGTCTGTCAGCGACCAAATGAGCTTTATGCGAGTTAATTGGTCCAACTGAAAGCATGTCAAAATCCGAAAATCTAAAATAACTGCAACTTTTGCATTTACAGGAATACAAATTACAGTCTTGAGTTTGTATACTGGCTTGCAATTGCTGTTTAAAAAACATTTATGTTAGCTTCAGAAATAAATATTTTTTTTATCGAAAAAAATCGTGGTTTTCAATTGTTAGATTTTTAACCATCTAATTATTTTATGTCCTTAAGCTAACGCGCGAGCAAATTTTATTACAAGCAAAAACGAATCAAGTTAGTCAATTTGTCAAAAAAACCCTCTACCCTTTTCAAAGAACATCAAATTAGATTTTTACAAACGAAAAAATATAAATCAAAGTTAAATTACTCTTATATTTAGGTTTATTTGTAGCAACTAACTTCACAAATCGAGATGTCAATATTCTAATTGAATAGCAAAATGTCTAAATGTTGCTCGTACCAGATCAGACTTCAATATGCAAAGTAGCCTAATCTTTAATTCAATTTTCAATCTGCATTGAGTTTTCGCCTGCATTAACTTTTATCTCTCACCTGCCATATAGATATAGGCCTTTTTAGCCTATGTACATTTGTTTGTGTGTGTGTGTGTGTGCAAATTGAAGGTCTCTCCTCGCCCATTATGTATACTCTTTTTCGATTTATAGTGGCAAAGCAACGTAAATGATCTTTTACACCGATAAACAGCATATTCCCGTATATATCTAAGCAATAGAAAAGTGTTATTTTACCGTGAGCCGCTGAGCGCCGTCCTGAAGCCCCAGCAGTGCTGCGGTGAGAGAGGGATGAGGATGAGGGTGAGACACGAGCGATCCTACCAGCAGATGGGGGCTGTTCCTTGTTTCTCGCGTGAGTGTCAATTACGACAAATCCTGCGCGAGCACTGTACATCAATTGTATTACGCACAAGGCCCCTTTCGGGATGTGTTGGTAAAGGATAGATAGAGATTTTCTCTGTGTAATTTCTTAATGTTAAAACATTAACTTCATTAGTTTTCTCACCTTGAGATCATGCATGACGAGGCTTCTTCTCTAGATAGATAGATAGATGGATAGATGGATAGATGGATAGATGGATAGATGGATAGATAGATAGATAGATAGATAGATAGATAGATAGATAGATAGATAGATAGATAGATAGATAGATAGATAGATAGATAGATAGATAGATAGGCAACCTTTGAAGTGATATTAGACATTTACTCATATTTTCCACACAGTTTTGACAGAAATGATATCATCTGAATCAGCAGGTTTCATGATTAGTTTGATATGCAAGATCCAAGCTTTTCATCTAAAAAAAAAAGAAAATATCAAGCCAAGTCGACAGAGTTGTAACACATTCTAATGTATTTGCTGTTTTGAATTAAAATGTTTAGCATTTAATGGGGGATGGCTCAAATATTTATTTGATCATCGCAATAAATTCATTGAAAACTGATGTCTATGTTTTACAACCCATCTGGTGGGGTCGGTTGTAACAGCAGCATTCTTTGTACTTGATATTAATTTGCACAATTTAGGAATAAGATTAGTATAATTAAGAATAAAAAAGTGTTACAGACACTGAACAAAAATGGTTAACTCCCAGTCTCTCCACAATGCAACCATAACATTTTAAAAGCATCAGTTGTAAATGAATTGGGAAATAATTTGAAATTGGACAGACTGGGAATGGATCGTTCAACCAAAGACAACAAAACAAATGTGATATAATGCATTTCTCTTAGTGACAACACTTCAGGTTAATTTAATAGCTAAAAAAAACATGGATGCCTTATAATCGTTGGGCTGTTGACTCTGGGAGATCTGCTGTTGTATTAAAAAAAGGCAAAAAACAAAAAACAACCTAGGTCCTCTGTGCTTGTTCTTTATTTTGTGGAGTTAGTACACTAAAGCTTTTAGAGGGAGTTGCTTGCTCTATTGTGGGGAAACATACTTAAACTTTAAAAAGTGTGAAAAGACATACACATCAAAAATCTGCTCTCCAAATCTTTGAAACACACAGATCCATAACATATATGTTGCAATACCATCCTAAATACTGAAAATCTTAGTCAACTGATACAGAAACATACTGACTGAAAAATGGAAAGTGTTTTTGATACTTTTAAATAAGCTGCTGGAGTAAGGAGAAAGCCATCTCATCTTGAGAGCTTGGCTTACAAGCAACATTTCATGCCATGCAAGTCAAAGGGAGGAGACTTAGGCATCATACAAAAAGACCTTAAAATGAAATAACTGCAGTCTCGTTACTAAAAAAAAAACACAATTTTTTTTTTTCATGCAGGCTCAGTTGCTGCTGACCAAGTCATACAAATCCATTAAGTTACAACATCTCTCAAATGTAAAAAAAAAAATACCCTAGCCATTATCATCTTGAATAATCCTAATACTTCACCATGTCTCATTGATCATGTCTAAAAAAAAAAAAAAAAAAAATGTCAGGGTACTGGCTGTTACGCAAGAACCATGTCCATTTATAAACCATATGTGATGGCTGAATCATGAAACTAATATTTACAAACTGAAGATGGACAAAGATTTCTCCAGAGTCGTCGCATTGCACTTTTTTAAGAAGCAACAAAGCCACAGAGCAGATGCTCCTCACCGGTGTTTCGTGCTTTGCTTCGAAGAGGGGACGTTCAGTCTAGCGTGCCTGATGAGAATTTAGCTGCTGTTAAAAATCTCTCTTTCTCTCTCTCACTTTCCCTCCCTCCTCACCCCATTTCTCTTGATGCTGAGCCCTGCTCTGCTGATGCAAGAATCACAACTCCCCGTGTTGACAGATGGAGGATGGCTCCATAGCACAGAGCCCGTCCCAACAGTCCAACTGCTGCCTAACCAACAGTTTTTTTTCGCTTCTCCACCTTTTTTCCTTTTCTTGTTTTTAAAGCTGTATTATTCAAGCACCATTATCCTGAATTGACTTGACCCATATACGTTTTCCTCCATTACAGTGTTTGCAGGCAGTGCATATTGATATTAATCAAACATTCTAGTTAGGGTCTGTTCTAAATTCCAACCTAAGTATATTAAACCAACCCCTTTCCTCTAAAGACTGCTTGTCTTGCAAGCACTTGCTTCAAGATTTATCAATTATTATTTCAATTATATAAGTGTATAATTTTACGTTACCATCTAAGGGTGTGCTTCAATTAGCTACCTCAGTAGTCACTGCACTGGCCAGGGAGTAAGGCATTAAGTAAGGCATTGTCAAAATCTCTCCAGTGTACCGAAATGGTTGTGCTGTAGAAAACGCCACAAAGCACTGTTTAAAAAAAAAAAAAGGAAAGAGAGAGAGAGAGAGAGAGAGCACTGGGTGCTCATTATGTTCACTTACCATGTTTCTACGGTCTCTCAATCAGACAAAAATGGAGGGCGAGTGCATATTTTATGATGTCTCTGTGGATGTAAAATAAACATAAATAATATCAGAAGGATATACAGCGATGTTGTAAATAAAAAAAAACATTAGTGTCCCAAATTCATTTTCACAATGGTTCATGACAGGGAACTAAACTTCCCAGCAATTCATATTTTGTATGTCTCCCTATTATAACACCTGATTCTACAACTCACCAGCTCATTAGTAAAGGCCCCATGACATACATTGTGTCTGTATAAGGAGACATCCAAAGTGTGTCCCATTGGGGTACTC